CGTGCAGGCTACTTTTAGGCAACAAGTGAATGACCTTGTTTCTGTTATTCAAAACTTAGGGAATCCATTTTCAGAGTATTCTAAAGATTTGCTTGTTCTAGATACAAGAGATATTGTAGATTCCGGCGTATCAGACAGCATTCGAAGTATGAGTACTTTAGGTAAACAGCAGTATGAGACATATGTGCATGAAAGACTTGAAACCAAGTCCAAATCAGTGATGGACACAATAAAACAGAACAAATTACCTTTATTTAGCAGACCTAAAAAACGCAAACTTACAAGGCAAAAACTTGAAGTCTCATCCTTAAAAGAGAACTGTGCCCTTTTCTCACGCCTGTATGTGTCCTGCCAGGTTAGAAATGGTGACCTTAGTGAATTTTTCTCACATGAAAATAGCAGCTATCCACCATCTTTGTCCATGTTTGGAGATTTACGCTCTGGGAAAAAATCAGATTTGCTGATGTGTTTGGAAAATTACTGCAATGTAACAGCTTATGAAAAACCTGTTGTTGATGCACTACTGATTGATGGTGCGGCTATCATCAACATGCTGAAACCTCAAGAATCTAAAACATTTGCCGATTACGCTGAACATGTGTTTCTCCCATACCTTCAGATACTACTAAGTCATGTCCGTAGGGTTGATGTTATTTGGGATAGATATGTTCAAAACAGCCTAAAAGAAGGAGCAAGACAGAAACGTGGTGTTGGAGTGCGCCGAAGAGTGTCACCCGAGACAATGATTCCATCCAACTGGGAATCATTTCTTAGACATGATGACAACAAGTCTGAGTTATTTGAATTTTTAGCCACTAGGATTAGTAACTTAAGTATAACAGATGAAAAGTATGTTATATCAACAAAGGGTGTTGATGTAATAGCAACATCTGAAATTAGTAATGTATCATCCATTGCTCCTTATTCACATGAGGAAGCTGACACAAGGCTCATTCTTCATACAGCTCATGTTGGAAAGTCTGGAATAAAAAGCGCAATGATTAAAACAGTTGACACTGATGTAGTTATTCTTGCTGTGGGGATGTTCCAGGAGTGTGAAGTTGATAAATTGTGGGTTGAATTTGGCACCGGAAGAACCCTTCGATATATTCCAATTCATACACTAGTTGAAAAAATTGGTCAAGACAAAGCAAAGGCCTTACCAGGGTTCCATGCATTTACTGGCTGCGACCAGGTATCAGCATTTAGTGGCAGAGGGAAGCAGACAGCATGGAAAACTTTAGAATCTATGCCTGAATCAATACAGACATTCAAGACTTTAGGGAGCATGCCAAGTGACACTGACATTGCTGAAAACATGACAACTGTTGAACGATTTGTTGTTCTTTTGTATGATCGGTCAAGCGAATGCCAAACAACAAATGATGCTCGACAGGAACTTTTCACACATAAAGGCCGCTCCATTGATTCTATTCCACCAACATCAGCGGCTCTCTATCAGCACACACGACGTGCTGTGTATCAAGCAGGTTATTGCTGGGGACAATCTCTTAATCCCTCGCCAACACTGCCCTCTCCATCTGAGTACGGCTGGACAAAAAAAGCTGATGAGATGTGTCCTTGGCAGCCTCTGTGGACAAATTTGTTGCCAGCAGCAAAATCGTGCATGGAACTATTAAAGTGTAGCTGTAACAAGGAGAAGGGCTGTCGCGGAAGATGTAAATGTGTAAAAGCTGACCTGCCCTGCACAGCGTTATGTAAATGTAACGGCTGCTGTGACAGGCTATGAAATGTTAAAAAGTTTGTTAAATATCATTAATTGATCTTAAAATGTTACATTGTATTTTGTTGAATATACGTATTAAACCGAGAAACTGACCCTATTTATAGTTGAAATTTGTCATTTTATTGACGTTTATAGTAAAAATTTGTCATAAAATTGTCTCTTCTTGAACAAGTCTTTAGTGGTCACAGTATAAAATATTGATTATTAACTATTAAGATTAATCTTTTAAACTTGGTTTTATTCAGGGTACTAAGGTTAAGTCCAAAATGTCGTAAAATTTGTGAATGAGTCATTAAATGCAAAACCATAAAAATCCTACACTTGTGACCATTTAACCGCAATTTCTTTAGTCAAAAATTATGTACAACTCTTCCTTTTGTTTAAAACACATAAGAATAATATTTTAATCTAGGTTTTGCATTATATTTAAAGCTAATGTATATATACTTAAGGATATTTCAAAATACCGGATTTTGGCGGCCATCTTGGCGGCCATTTTGAATTTTGGCCGCCATTTTGATTTTTAGGCTGGGGTCTCGATCCATATCAGCTACAAAGACATCAAACTAGAATAATCCAAAGTGGTTTGCTTGTAGAATGAATAGAACGATTATATGTACTTTGACTCTAACTAATATCTTTAGTATTGCCTGTACGGACTACTACTTAAAGCCGCATCTACACCTAGTCAAGTTTCTTATATGTCACATTTAGCTAAATAAATGGCTCTTTCAACATATTATTAGGCACATTTTTTACTGAATTGTCTTACTAAGATTTCCCAGAATTTATCCCTTTGTCTATGCTAAGACTATCATATTTCTATAAAATGTGTAAATAAATTAATGAAAGGTGTACATTCTTTTAAAATAAATGGAACATTTGAGAAAAAAATATTTTAAGCTTAATAATTGATACAAATTCTTTATTTGGTGATTTATTTGGTGAAAGTTCTTCACTTACTTATCAAGACCATTTAAATCCCTATTGATTCTACTATAATTCAGGGCACATGTTTGTGTCTATTTAATACCCTGACTTTTTGTTTACCATTGGCTTTGACTACAATATATTATTTAAAACATAATGAACATTAATTTTCTATGACCCCAAAGTGCGGTCGTTTGCCTGATGTTAAAAAATGCATATGTACCTGTTTAACGCACTTTGGGGTCGAAATTGGACCCCAAAGTGCGTAACGCACTCTGGGGTCGGACCCCAAAGTACGTAACGCACTTTGGGGTCGGACCCCAAAGTGCGTTTGACCCTAAAGTGCGGTGTTACAAGGCTTATAAACCTTAGTTGTGTTCCTTTAAAGGGAGACACAGTCAAAATTTTCATTTCTTCCTTTTAAATGTTTCATTCATTATTCTGTAAATGTACTAAAAATCAATACACTATAGGCAGTCACAGGAACAAAACTTTTCTCCTTATAAAGAATAAAATGGTGGTTTCCTAACTTGATCCATGTGGGTTAGGTTAGAGCGTTAATATTTCACAATAGTTGTCACAGTGAACTCTGAAAACGTTAACATGTCAAATGAATGACTTAGACTTGTTTCAATCATATAATATCCACAATATATGTTATTGTAACTTCAAGTCACATGCTACTCGGTGATTCAGTTGGCGTCTAAATTTCGTTCAAAATATTAAGAGGATATTTTTTTATTTAAAAAAAAAAATAACCTTTTTATTTAATCTCATTATCAAAGAAAATGGTTACGAACCCCCTTGCTTGCTACGCAACTGCAATTGTACAGCGCGCAGTAATAAAATTATTGTCTTGTTTTGCGCGCGATATTTAGCGCTACATTGTGACGTCACGTAAACAACTCTTTAAACGTCTGTACAGCGTTAATGACTGAATTAAAGATATTGGTGTTCGGATTTATTTTCTTAGTTAGACCATTTTCTATCATTCTAGATAGTTTTCAAAACAAAATTCAACAAAAAGTTGTTTTGTATTTTCAGATTTTGCAAACAGAATGTCAAAAGAAGTCCGTTAAAATAAATATGAGTTTTGACTCCGCCTACTTTCATATTTATATTTCATATTTATTTTTAAAAAATATGAAATATATTTGACTGATATAGCACCATATTTCATGGGTAAAATTAAATAATAAGAGGATAATTTTTCGTTTGAGTTAAATATGGAATATATTTTCACGAAACATGATAAAATGCCACATATTTTCACGAGCCGGGACGGCGAGTGAAAATATGTGGCATTTTATCATGTTGAGTGAAAATATATACCATATTTCACGAAAAACGAAAAAATAACCTTTTTATTTAATCTCATTATCAAAGAAAATGGTTACGAACCCCCTTGCTTGCTACGCAACTGCAATTGTACAGCGCGCAGTAATAAAATTATTGTCTTGTTTTGCGCGCGATATTTAGCGCTACATTGTGACGTCACGTAAACAACTCTTTAAACGTCTGTACAGCGTTAATGACTGAATTAAAGATATTGGTGTTCGGATTTATTTTCTTAGTTAGACCATTTTCTATCATTCTAGATAGTTTTCAAAACAAAATTCAACAAAAAGTTGTTTTGTATTTTCAGATTTTGCAAACAGAATGTCAAAAGAAGTCCGTTAAAATAAATATGAGTTTTGACTCCGCCTACTTTCATATTTATATTTCATATTTATTTTTAAAAAATATGAAATATATTTGACTGATATAGCACCATATTTCATGGGTAAAATTAAATAAATAGATATATTTACGCTTCGAACTCAATATACATGTACAGTGTATATAGAATTTAAACAGAAATTCATGCTGGGACTTTAAAAATGTCGTTTTTACGTGATTTGAGTACATAAGATCATTTTGATATTTGAGCCGCGTCATGACAAAACCAACCTAATGGGTTTGCGACCAGCATGAATCCAGACCAGCCTGCGCATCCGCGCAGTCTGGTCAGGATCCATGCTGTTCGCTATCAGTTTCTCTACTTGTAAATTACAAGTTGTAATAGGGTTTATAAATAATCAGTTTTTTTGTAATAGGGTTTGTAAGCGAACAGCATGGATCCTGATCAGACTGCGTGGATGCGCAGACTGGTCTTGATCCATGCTGGTCGCAAACGCACTATGTTGGTTTTGTCGTGACGCGGCTCATTTGTGTCTTTAATTTGCCTGAGTATCCCTTTAAACAACATCAACTTTGTTGAACTATATCACAACCGGATGATATACTTAAAGTATAATATTGAGACATTTGCTTTTCATTTAAGTTCATGGTGATGATATGCACACGGTTTTTGCAGACATCTATAGTTTCAATGACGTCACAGGATAGAGGAAAAGGAGCATCCACCGGATATCTATTTACTGCTCCAAAAGAAGCTTCCGGTATATTTCGTTTAAGATAAATACACACAATAGTTATTCATGAAGTTAACATTTGTTATATTTTCGAAAGAGAACTTTTTATAAATGTTTACGAAAAATATTAAAATGATACTTTTCCGTTTAAGTGAAATACGAAATTATTTTTTCTCGAGACTTTATAAGCGTTCATATATTTTAAAGTTTAAGGATTTAGAAAAAATGTTGGGCAAAAATCCAATGTTATCTAGAGAACTTAGCTCTTTATAAAAGATTCATTTAGTTACTAACAATAATAAATGTTTTGAATTTTCCTCAGTAAATCTTAAACAGAATCGTCCAGAATAATAATAAATTTGCAAAAGATATATTTATTTACCAACATTTAAATTGTTTTTATTTTTTCTAAAGAAATGTGTAACAAAGTCGTCTAAGTTCATTGGGCAATGGACAAGTAAGATTAAACGGTCATTTATTCTTTGACCATTTGTTTCAAACTGAGAACTTCGTTTTCTGTAAATAAAAAGAGATAATGACCAATTTGTACAAAAACCGTAAAGAATTTAAAAATTATAAGATTTATTTATATTTTTAATTCAGATTTCGACGTCAAAACAATTTGCAATAAATTGTCATTGGACTCATCTGTTAACAACACTGATGAGGCAAACATCAGTGGGAGTGCGAGCACACATTCTGGTGTAAAACGAGATAGAAATACGGACAAAGTTTATAATTTCGATCAAGAGTTTGAATTAGATGATCCTGTAGATCGTGTTATAAAATTTAAAAAGAGTAGGGCGGATGCTAAAAAACAAAGACTGAGACTTCAAAGACACCGCAGCAACAGAAAACCAACTCCGAAAACTGAAAATTCTATTTCTACAACAGAGTATAGTGCAACGACAGATATAGCGAAGAATGTGTTCAATGACAATTTTCCCAGCCTTGACAGAAAACCAACTTCGAAATATAATAGTTCATTTCCGACATTAAGTGACCATAATGCAAAAACTTCAACACCGTTAAAAGCGTATGGTTCGGTTCGCAAGATAGCCGAAGAAATAGGCCCAGTAATGATGCGGTCATTTACTAGATACTCAGATATTGAGCTTGTAAGACTGGTACACCAAAAAGCTTCCGGCAAATAGAAAACTGTCTACGAGCAAAGGAATATACATTAATAAAAATGATTTTTGTATCAGAAAATGTATTTATTCTTTCTTGCTTATTACGAAAGTAAGGTCATTTTTTCACACTTAATCCCTGTCCTATTGCCATTCAAAGAGGGAAACCATTCTCTGTAATTGTGGACGCCTGAACCTCTCCTTTTCATGTCGAGCAATGATATGTAAATGTCACGACAAAACCAACATAATGGATTTGCGACCAGCATGGATCCAGACCAGCCTGCGCATCCGCGCATTCTGATCAGGATCCATGCTGTTCGCTATCAGTTTCTCTACTTGTAGTAACCGTTAATCAACCGAAATCACTGTAATGACGTAATAAAATTAGAATATTGAGTTATTTTATTATCAACATTAATTGTACGCATTTGCTAGCAGTGATGTATTTAAGTCATTTAATATAATTAATAAAACAGTCAAAATTGTTGATACATTCCTACCATATGATACAAATCACTTTATTGAAGCTACCTCAAATTATGAAAGAAAATAAAATGTGTCGATGCAAAGCCCAAACCTGAGCAGGATGTAGCAAAAAAGCTTTGATTGTAAGGTTAAACAGGTCCACGGTTTATACAGAACGTATTTTTAAACTTTCCTGTGACTTAATTTGTTTATCAACAAAGCGCTTTGTAAATAAGTATATATTCTTCGACATAGAACAATTATTTCGGTATATGTATTTATATAGATATTCTGACAATATTTATTTTCTGTAGAATATATGCGTGAAATTGAGCTAAATCTCTAAATTTTGCATCTTTTGTAGGGCATTTTGAAAAAAAACTGCTAGCTTCTAAAAGTATTAAATTCATGTAAAACTTGTCAGGGGAGTTTAACTTTGTTCATTGTTCATTGTTTCATTTCTAACTGGGCTGAAATTGACATTAGTCTGTAATTGAAAATGGCAGATTTCAGTTAAAACTAGGTAAATTTGTCAGAAATCTTTCCCCAAATTTAAAACTTGCCATTCATATACACATTTTATTATTAAAGATTAAGGTCTAATAATTTGGTTCACTGTTACACCTCACTTTGGGGTCCAACGCACTTTGGGGTACAATTTCGACCCCAAAGTGCGTTAAACAGGTACATATGTATTTTTTAACATCAGACAAACGACCGCACTTTGGGGTCATAAAAAATTAATTTTCATTATGTTTTAGATAATATATTATAGTCAAAGCCAATAGTAAACAAAAATCAAGGTTCATGCATTAAATAGACGCAAAACATGTGCCCTGAATTATAGTAGAATCCATAGGGATTTAAATGATCTTGATCAGTAAGTGAAGAACTTTCATCAAATAAAGAATTTGTATCAATTAATGAGCTCAAAATGTATTTTTTCTCAAACTTTCCATTTATTTTAAAAGATTATCTCCATTGTTTTTAGATTATTGCATCATTTTCCCGTTTTTTATTTATACAGATAGTCTTAGCATAGACAAAGGTAAAAAATGTGCCTGATTATATGTTGAAAGAGTAATTTATTTAGCTTATCTAAATGTGACATTATAAGGAACTGGACTAGGTGTAGATGCGGCTTCAAGTACTAGTCCGTACATACAGGCTACAGTACTAGAAATATCATAAACTATTTAAGTAGTCACACATTAAGAGGGTAGCTTCATAATAATGTAAAGTTCTCAGTGGGGGTCTACAGGGGGTAGTGGGGTATCGATCCCCCAAGGGTTAAAATAACATTTTAAAGGCCCATTAAGCTTTTATTTGTTTTTCTTAAAAGCTTTTTTATTTTGATGTTCTTCTATAATATCCAAAATTACTCACTGGCCAATTATCTAAACCATCTTTTTCATCTGTTTGTTTTGGCAATGATGAGTACAGTTATAGTGAATTAGTATGAAGTCAAATATTTCATTGTTTTAACTACTTTTATGACAAATAATTTCACATTGTAACAAGTATCTTACGTTTCTCTGATCGAGAAACTTACGTTTCTCTGATCGAGAAACTTGATATTTCACCAGAACATTGCAATAGAGTATATTGATAGTTCTCTGGAAAAAATATATATGAACTGCATTTTATTTCATTCCCATCATATATAAAATGGGGCTCAATATAGCACTAAAGGTTATCAAGTAAATGACTGACAGAACGGGATATTTTTCGCAGCATCTTTTAATTTTAGGAATACATCAGTACTTTGTTATATAAACACAATTTTTAGATATTTCAAGTGGTAAAATTAATGAAACTGGCTATAATAATGGCTATAAATGTGAATAACACGGGCTGTTTTTTTTTCAAAAAAAGGCGGACAAATCCTGTTGGTATGTAATCTTGAAAAATCATAGTATAGGTACAAAAGTAATACCTTTAGAAGCGGAATTTATTTTGGAAAAAATGATATATACTACAAGTTATTTGGAGTGTATGTAAGACCGTAAGTTATGATTAAACTGTGTTATTTAGTACCAGGAATACATGTTAACATATTAGACAGTGCTAATTGTGAGATATTCTACATGTATATGTATATAGATTTATAATCTAACAACTTTTTCCTTGAATCGCTTTGGTGTATTTCAGCAATAACAAATTGAAAATGCATTTGTATTCAAGATACTTAAAGGAGACACAGCCAAAATTTTTATTTCTTCGTTTTGATTTTTTCATAGATTATTCAGTAAATATCCTCAAAATAAATGCACTATAGGTAGTCACAAGAACAAAACTTTTCTCCTTTAAAAGAAGAAAATGGTGGTTTCTTAACTTGACCCACGTGGTTCAGGCTAGATTGTTAAGATTTTACAATAGTTGTCACAGTGAACTCGTTAAAACTCGAGAAACGTTAAAGAACATATCAAATAAATGACTTAGACTTGTTTCAATCATACAATTGCCACACTTTCTGCTTTTGTAACTTCCAGGGTTTGTTCAAGTCAAATGGCTTGTTTTTAAACTCCTCGGTGATTTTGTCGGCGTCTATATTTCGTTCGATATATCTAGATATATTTACGCTTCAAACCTAAACTATATAGAATTTATACAGAAATTCATGCTGGAACTTAAAAAAAATGTCATTTTAGTGTGATTTGAGTACATTAAATCATTTTAATATTTTTGTCATTTATTTGCCCGAGTATCCTTATAAAAAGAGACCAGTCCCCGTTTTTTTTAGGAAAAGTTGGCAACGTCTTTATCAGATCCGCTCATCTAATTATGGCTGACGTCGGATTTTACGCGAAATATCTCGATGTAATTTGACGTCATATCCGCAATCGATGAAACAAAATGGATCTTTTAAGAAAAAATGTTAACCAACATGATATTTAACAACAAAGGGCTTTGCTTTTGAGATGGATTGTCATGGCAGGACCAGTTATTAAATTTACGGAACGAAAGCGTGAAAAGTTTGCAAAATTTGTTGGATTTACGCAGTGGGTTTGCATTTTACCATCTTTTATGTGTCTGGTGTTAGCATTATATGTACAGTTAGTGATAGAAGCTAAAATAAATTTCATTGAAGACTACAACGGCACGATACTTCCTGGATTCCTTCTATTTTGTGGATTTTTCGGATTGTTTTCGCACATTTTATGTGGTAAAGTAGCTTATACCAACAGGTTACCTGAAAAAAGGGAGAAATGGATGAAATTTTTGCTTCCTGCGCTAATTGTAACATTCGTCATATTCTTAGCTGAATTAATTTCTGGAGTAATGTGTTTTGCGCATATTCAAAATTTGGAGGAATCATTTCAATCCGGCATTAAGGCTGCGATGTCTGCTTACAAGGATGATGCGACAACTAAGGAGGAACTTGACATATTGCAGTTCGAGTATGAATGTTGTGGTAGCAAGGATTATATGGATTGGTTTTCTGTTGCCTGGATTCATCCCGACTTCAGGAGTACAAAGTCACGAACAAGGTATACATGTATTTTTATGAAAACAGTGCATTTGTTTCCAAATACCGTAGGTGTATGTGTAGGCAAGATTTTAGTTTATGTAATATTCGACTTAAAAGTAGCCTTATATTGAATTATAAAATATCTATCTATCGATCGATCGATCGATCTCTATCGATCGATCTATAAAATATAAAATGACAAATGATCTTAATTGGCAAACCCTTGAACAGCGTCGAAACATCATTGCTTTAACCTACTTGTATAAAATCCAAAACAACATTGTTTTTGTTGACCACCAACACCTTACTCAAACTACTCGAGGACACAATATCATCAAAATTCTTTCTTTCCTAGGAGATACGTCTTTGGAATAGCCTTCCTGTCTAGCCCCAGTTTAAACATCTTTACTGAGAGGCTTGACCCATTCTATGAATTCTAAATCGCACACTATGTCTTTTAAATTAATAGTCTTGTAGAACTTTTATTTTTTTAACTTTTTAAATTTGCATATCAATAATTTCTTTTATTAACAAATCAGAATTTATTGTTAAGCAGTATGATGAATATGTAGATGTACATGCAACAAAATATCGACATTAATTGTAACAATATAGAAAAAATATCGAGATGAATCAGTACTGTAAACAAACAGTCGCCAATAAAATATATAAATAAAATAGTTTACATAAATATATTATAATTAACTATAGAAAATGATAATAATTATGCTGAGCGCTATTGGCTGAAACAAAGTTTTTGCCCATAAAGACAGTGTGTTTTATTAAGATTACATGATCTTTACTCATTATTCAGCGACTTAAACAAGACGGTACTTGACAGCGTCCCATTTAGCTGTTGTAATCCACAAACTTTGCGCCCGTGCATTCAACATCACGTGCACGACAATAACCTACACTTCAACTACGACTATCGAAAGGAAACAACACTGTATAGCAACGGATGTACGGAAAAACTGATGTCGTTTTACAAACATTCAGTTCTGATGGTAGCTGGTGGACTGGTTTTTATCCTGTCAAGTATAGAGGTAGGTACCAAACGTTTATCCTGTCAAGTATAGAGGTAGGTACCAAACATTTTTCTTATATATACTAACAGGATATTTTTAATAACAAATATAATATATAATTGACTGATATAGCACCATATTTCAGAGGCAACATTAAATAATAAGAGTTAAATATATGGAATTTTATCATGTGAAGTGGTAATGATATCCATATTAAAAAAAAAGAAACACACACCTTTTTATTTAATTTTGCTACGCAGTTGCAATTGTACAGCGCGCAGCAATACATTAATTAAAATTAGGTGCGGGACACAGTTAGAATCCAATACACAATTCATTACAGTCATCTTGAACTTTCTTTTAAAAACATAACCAGACAATTTCCGATGGTGAAATGCATTGCTGAAGCTACTGTCTGCAACAGAGAAACATCTGAGAAAGAAGTTCAAAAGAGAAATAGAGGATATTCAAGTTTTTTCTATAAATGCAATATTGCCGCTGGATAACAATTGTATATTAATGTTTATTTCACGTGAATAATTTGTATAAAGAACTGCATGTTCGTCTTTTTTTAAACATGAATTGCATGTGACTTTTCTTTACAGTTTGAGCTGATTATATGTATGCGGTTACTTCAAACGGCAGTGGCGTCATCGCTAGAGTCCTATGATCAAGAAGGTCCATCATATGGGTATCTGTTCGGTAATCCGCAGAAAACAGGTAAATAAAAAAATAGAATCTACTATCCTTTTTTAAATTCTTAATTCGACAAACCTATTTGAGCTAAACTTTGATTAGAACTGAAATTGCAAGTTGGAGTTTGAGACGATATTTGTTTTGAGTGAATATATTATATACACATGTATCTCACAGAGAAGTGGGGAAAATTGTAACATTGTGAAAACAATAAGCGCGGGAAACATAAACTTGTTAATAAGATGACGTCAGACGATCAACGTTGCGGGAACAAAAATACAATTTTAGTGCTTATATATGAATCATTCTTGCATATTAGACAGAGCCGCGTTACCGCGGTAAACAGTTACCCTCGAGCTAGATATTCTGGTCTGTACCAACAGCCCCGGTATAAGATATTTAACAAATAATACATGGCCTTAAGGGCAATATGCAAGTTTACGGACTGATTGGTCAGACTGAGGAAGGTATATGACCCGAAGCGCAGCTGAGGGACATATACCTTCCGAGGTCTGTCCAACACACAGGCGCTAGTCACATAATCAAATATTTTACATAATCGGTCTATATATGTATATAAAGATATATCTTTATATACATATATAGACCGATTATGTAAAATATTTGATTATGTGACTAGCGCCTGTGGTCCAACATGTCCGTAAACTTGCATTTAGCCCGAAAGGCCATGTTTTATTGTCCCCCGCCTTTTCGAAGAAAAAAGGGGGATATAGTAATAGGCTCCGTCCGTCCGTCACACTTTCGTGTCCGGTCAATAACTTTGTCATTCATCAAAGGAATCTGAAATAACTTGGCACAAATGTTTGTTATAATAAGACGATGTGTCATGCGCATCAACCAGACCCCTTCCTCCAGGGTCAAGGTCGCACTTGCTCATTCAACGTCAACATTGTCCATTTGATGGTATACTTTGTGTCCGGTCCATAAATTTTTCATGGATCAAAGGATTTTGTAAATACTTGCCACAAATAGTCACTATAATAAGACAATGTGTCGTGCGCAACACCTGCATCCCTACCTCCAAGTTCAAGGTCACACTTAGAGGTCAAAAGTTAACATAGTCTGTTTTAGGGTATATTTATTGTCTGATCTAGAACTTCTTCGGTTTTTGAAATAACTAGGCACAAATAGTCACAATAAATAAGACAATATGTCAGGTACAACACCTGCACCCCTACCTCCAAGGTCAGGGTCACACTTAGAGGTCAAAGGTTAACAGTCTGTTATATGGTATATTTTGTGTTCAGTCCATAACCTTTTCATAGATCAAGGGATTTTAAAAATACTTTGCACAAATAATCACATTAATAAGATGATATGTCAGGCGCAAAACATGGGTCCCTACCTCAAAGGTCACACTTAGAGGTCAAAGATTGACATAGTCTGTTATAGGGTATATTTTTATGTCCGATCTATAACTTCTTCATAGTTCAAGGGATTTTGAAAATACTTGGCACAAATAGTAATAATAATAAGACGATATGTCATGCACAACACATGCACCCCTACCTCCAAGGTCAAGGTCACACTTAGAGGTCAAAGGTTAACATGATAGATTTTTAAATTCTGTGTTTCATTTTACTAGTTTTCTTTAATAAATTTATTGTTGCACTTGCAGATCTAGCATTGAAATAATTTTGGACTGAAAGTCCTGAGATTCATACCTCAATCTTTTGAAATAGCACAATTTTATGCTTCATATAAAACTTCCCCGAGGCGGGGGACGTTGGTAACTCTGTTACAAATTCTTATTTGTTATATTATACCGAATCTAAATCATTTTATCCCTTTTGTTGCTGACATTTTAACTATAATTTGCTTTCAAATAATAATTTATTTGTTAAGTGTGTGAAATATCTCAAACCCTAGTCGGATTTATTATTATTATTTTCAAGCGATACAGAAAAAAAATCATGCTCTTCTTTTGTTATTCATTTTTTGTTAATCAAATTGAACAGGCAAAAAAACCCGAAATTTAAGATTTTAAATGACGTCATCCAGGCAATATAAGAATTATGGACCGCCCCGGTCTTAATGCGGTTTATGTACCGGGTGGTGGCATACTAAATATAGAAAGACGTATGCAAATGAAATGTAATATATAGAGGATATTGAATGAGTGTAAGTTCAATACTGAATTTATTGCACGAGTTGAATAAAATTATATTATGCGAGCCTCTGGCGAGCATACTATTATTTCATTCCACGAGTGCAATAAATTCAGTAATGAACTTACACGAATTTAATATTCTACTTATCACACACCCAAAATAAAGATCGTTTAAAGTGAAATAAGAGTCATTTTTCATTGACGCGCCTATAGTATAACGCTAACATTTAGCGCGTCTTTACACTATGTTTGCATAACGCTAATGACGTCACGTCAAAATATATGCTCTGCCGTGCAATACCCTATTTACGGAGTCGCAAAATCGGCACGGATGTTTGATAAATAAGATTTATCACGTACACGTGCCGCTTTTGCGAATCCGTAAAAATGGTATTGCACGGCCGTGCATATATTTTGACGTTATGTCATTTGCGTTATACAAACCTACGTAATTGTTAGTTACATTATAAGCGCGTCAATGATAATACGATTTTTTTCGCTTTCAACGGTAAATTTATTGTGGGTATATGATAAATAGATAGAGAATATTCAAGTTTTTCTATAAATACAGTATTTATTTTCATCGAGTTGTATGAAAATAAATATTTCATGAGTGGCGGTAGCCACGAGTGAAATATTATAATTTTCATACTACAAGATGAAAATAAATCCTTGAAAACTTGATTTTTCTGTTTATTATATACATAGAGGATATTTGTTAAGTTCAGTGTAAGGTCGGAATATATTTCACCGAGTGAGCACCAAAAGGTATATTGAGCGAAATGTGAACTTTTGGTGTTCACGAGGTGAAATATATTTCGATCTTACACTAAACTAAACAAATTTTCTTTTTATTACATGCAATCAAACGTTAAAAAGGACATTTTTACCTATTAATACACTTGTTACTATATATAGTAACAAATTGCCTATGATTTCAACTGATTATGAGTGTCACGTGACCTATTATGAGTTTGCGGCCCGGGGCCGAGAACTAGTTATCAGCCCGCAGAACATGTGCACGTGCACAAACTGAAACAATGACGTCATATTTTACGTCATGAAACAGTTAACTGTAAAAGTGAAAGTAGACTGACAGCACATCGTATTTAGTACAAACACATTTTTGTTACTGTTGAAATTTGAAGAAATAATACGACAAATTCAATCCGAAAAAAAAAGAAAATAAAACTTGCTTCTTTGAACACACAAACAGTAAACATCTCCGTACAGAACACAAGAATTTCAACCAAAGAACTTCAAAGTAGATTTCTATTTGTTGTTGTTGTTTTTTTTTCTTTTTTAAAAATGCTACTATTAGATCTACCAAGTGTCAGAGTAGGGCCGGAAGGTGATAATCGGCCCTGAATGAATAATGGCCCTCGGGCTAAAGCCCTCGGGTCCATTATTCATTTTGCGGGCCGATTATCACCTTCCTGCCCTCTCCTGCCGTGTATTAACCTCTTATTAATACACTTGTTACTATATATAGTAACAAAATCGCCTATGATTTCAACTGATTATGAGTGTCACGTGACCTATTATGAGTTTGCGGCCCGGGGCCGAGAACTAGTTATCAGCCCGCAGAACATGTGCACGTGCACAAACTGAAACACTGACGTCATATTTTACGTCATCAAACAGTTAACTGTAAAAGTGAAAGTAGGTTGTCAGCACGAATCGCTTTATTTCTATTATGAGAGCTTAAGCGTATTTAGTACAAACACAATTTTGTTACTATTGAAAATTGAAGAAATAATACGACAAATTCATTCCGAAAAAAATGAAAATAAAACTTGCTTCTTGATTCTACTGCTTTGAACACACAAACAGTAGATTCTAAACGTCTCTGTACAGAACAGTAGAAGAGTAGACAAGAATTTCAACGAAAGAACTTCAAAGTATTTGTTGTTGTTGTTTTTTTTTTTTTTTTTTTTTTTTTTAAAGATGCTACTTTTATATAGATCTACCAAGTGTATTAAAGACATTAATACACGTCAGAGTAGGGCCGGAAGGTGATAATCGGCCCTGAATGAATAATGGCCCTCGGGCTAAAGCCCTCGGGTCCATTATTCATTTTGCGGGCCGATTATCACCCTCCGGCCCTCTCCTGCCGTGTATTAACCTCTTAATAATAAATGAATAGCGCGCCAAATAATTATACAACGTGACGTCATTTACGACGTCACGTTATTAAGTTGGTTTCCAGTACTGTGTACGCTGGTATTTCACTGAAACAACGTGAGGGGCTTAAATTCAAAACAAATTGATAATTTCACTGTTTCAAACAGTGAAATTATCAGTTTTAATTCACTGATATATTTCTATAAACCATCGAAAAGCATGTAATAAATTTTTCTCTTCTTTTTTTTAACATCTCATTTTTGTATATTGGCTGAATATTTAGCAGAAAGTAGTCCGGCAAGACACCAGTGAAAATACGGCAAATGAAAATACGCATTTTATTTCATCAACATTTCTCAATATTTCATTGATATAAAATAAATAGAGGATTTCTGGTGTTCACGAATGAAATATTTTAATCTTACATGCAAAACAAATAAATTATGCTATTTAAGTGATTTTAAGTATTTTTTTACTGATTTTGTCGCGTAACATCGCGCATTCTCCTTTGTGGCGTCATCACATCATGACGTCACATCATCAATTTTGAAATATAGTTCTGTTAAACTTTCTTTATTTCATGCTTTCCAGTGTTTTATTGTAATATATCAGATGATTATATTCTGAAAAACCACTAGTGAAATTTATAAAATATAATTTTCACTGTAGCCGGACTATATCTGAATGCGGATGAAAAGAAAATCATAACTAAATGGAATAACAGGCAAAAATAAATGCCGTCGTACGTAAATTTTGCTTCTTTAGGAAAAGTAAGTCGAACTCACCATAAATCATGTTAAAAATGTAACAAAATTAGAGAAATTTAACAGAACTGTATTTCAAAATTGATGACGTGACGTCATGATATGATGACGTCACAAAAGAGAATGCGCGACGTTACGCGGTAAAATCAGTAAAAAAAATACTTAAAATCACTTAAAAAACATTAAATAAATAGAAAATTTATTTGTTTTACATATAAGATTGAAATATATTTCATTCGTGAGCACCAGCTATTATATTTTCACTCGTGGCTACGCCACTCGTGAAAATATTGCATCTGGTGTTCACTCAGTGAAATTATATTTCAATCTTACATGCAAAACAAACAAATATCCTCTATATATTTTTTTTTTACATTTTTAACATGATGTATGATGACATGACTTTCTTTTCCTAAAGAAGCAAAATTTACGTAATGCGGCTTCTTTTTCTGCCTGTTATTCCATTTAGTTATGATTTTCTTTTCATCCGCATTCAGATATAGTCCGGCTACAGTGAAAATTATATTTTATAAATTTCACTAGTGGTTTATCAGAATATAATCATCTGATATATGACAGTAAAACACTGGAAAGCATTAAATAAAAAAATATATTCGTGTAGGTTCATTTCTGCATTTATTGAACGAGTTGAATAAAAATATATTGTTCGAGCCTTTGACTTACACTAATTAAACATCCTCTATATAAGCAACAACACATTAATCAATTAATATGCAAACTTACTTTATTTAATTACGTCATAAAAATAATGTTAATACTATTAATACATTTATTATTTTTATCATGTTTGTGAAACTTTAGGCGCAGATTCAACTGGAGGAACGACGCTGCTTGATACGACAGGGGAGACCACTACAGCGGATATCACGTTTAGTATGGAGGACGGAGAGTTTGACGAAGAACGTTACGTTAATTTGGATCCAGTTTACGAAAACGTTGGGCAGTTCGAAGTTGGAGCTGACGATGAACATATCTATAACGAAGGAGCTGTTGAAGGTTATCTTGCCGGAAAGTTTGCTCGATCAAAGGAAAGGTTTGAGCATCTTCAGGAAGGCGGATATGAGGCTCTACATCCAGCATACATGGCTCCAGGCATCCCTGTTGCCCCGCCGCCGCCACCGCTTCCTAATGTTAATTTCAACAGATCACCAACAAATCTTCATGAAGTCCGGTCTAACTATGGAAGTTATTTGGCCATGGATTTTTCGAATTCGTCATGGGCAAAATATCTCCCCGCGACAGAGAAAGTACCAAAAAGATATAGAAAACACAACAAAGTTCGCGTAAAAAGGCATCCGTTTCCGAGCCCTAAACGTATGTCAAGCAGTCCAAAAGATACATCCGTTATAAATATGCGCCAAAGTAAATCACCATCTATATCTGGATCAGGTACTAGACAAAGGCATACAGAACCTGAACGCAGACGACTTTTAGATAGCAGTCCGCCTGATTTGCTATATAGATCTCCAAATAGATATCCAAATAGAGAGGAACATTTGCAAGAGCCACGACGTTCCCTTTTTGAACCTCATTGTTCATATAAACACAGTGCCACTCAAATCTCTCCTAACAAGATCCTACCTTACGACCGGAATTCCAACATTTTCCCGAGCATGTTTAATTCCGTATATGGAAAACGAAAGTCTCCGCAAAAGAAGTCTCCAGATCGGCGCATTTCTCCTCAGAAAACAAGCTTCAAGTCCGGCGTTTCTTATAAATGTAATCATGCATATGATTAGAGTATATGAACCGTGTCATGACAAAACCAACATAATGGGTTTGCGACCAGCATGGATCCAGACCAGCCTGCGCATCCGCGCAGTTTGATCAGGATCCATGCTTTTCGCTTACAAACCCTATAACAAGTAGAGAAACTGATAGCGAACAGCATTGATCCTGATCAGACTGCTCGGATGCGCAGGCTGGTCTGGATCCATGCTGGTCGCAAACCCATTATGTTGGTTTTGTCGTGACACGGCTCAATTATATTAAAGTGATATATTTTATGCCTTATATAAAAAATAATATTTATAGTGTCCAGAATATGACATTTTGTAGTACAAATATTGATAAAAATGCAAGAGTATTTTGAGTGGAAAGCGTCATTTGTATGAATATATCCGACTTTATGATCTGCTACATATATTTTACTGTGTTCTAACACGTGTATTTAGGACATTCTAACGTGCATGCTTACGGTCGGAATAAGACATAATAATGGGACATGTCAACGCAAAAATGCATTGCACGTAAATTAAATTGTTCAAATCTGTCATAGTATATTTGATATCTTTTTACAAAGGCCAAGGAAGGATTTAAAAACTAGCACAGAAAATTTTCTTAAACTTTGCACGACTTAAGAGAATCAGTTTTTAAACTACCCTGGAAAGTGTTGTTTTTTTCTCTCTGTCTCTCTCTCATGTATAGATTACTCAATGCTACATGACAAGCAACACCTTATTTGATTTTACATGTATATACATGTATGTGTTTCTTAGTTTACTCCCCACCATGGGGCAAAATTTCGACAAATTTTATTCTATGGTTGCTTATGTCAAATGTTAGAAATATTCTTGGAGAAATGCCCCCTTTTGAAGAAAAATGCAGTATGTTTAGTCATTGAAGCATTGCAACATATATTTCCTAATTGAATAGTTTTAAACTTAGCATAGAAATTGAAAATGAAGATTGAAATAAAATGAAATACCGGTTTGCTTGATTTTAAAAGTTATCTGCTCCTGAATGTGACCAAAGTAAAGAAACTCACTTTTATCGGCAGATAGCTCAAAGAATCCCTATTTTTCCGAAACAATTTGTTTTAATCATGACTCTCTTTAATCATGCTTAGTTTGAGAAAAAAAATAATTGCTAGTTTAAAGTTTGTAAAAATATTATAGTAACATTTCCTATACGGGGCATTTTACCTTAGAAATTATTGGCTTAACAAATTCTGTGTATAAAGTTGGAAATCAAACAGTAGTGTCTTTACTATTTGTTTCCGTCTTGTTTTTTGAAAAATAAAACATGTATGGTCCTTCTTTTTTTTTAATTGCAATGCAAAATTTCTTTCAGCTCACATACATTATGAGTTAAACATTCGCTGACGGAAAAGAACACGCACAAATCTGAAATGTTTCACAAAGCAAAAATCCGTACATGTTTCTATTTCTTTACCTTATTGCAAAATATTTGCAAAACAAAATTCTTACATCTTATCAATACAAATAAAACTAATTATGCATGCATTACCGTATTTTCATACAAGTGTGGTCCAAAGGTCGTCTGCGTGGAGTACACATATCTAAATTTTATCTATTGCGAACAAGTATCATAGATAATTTCTAAAATTGCATGCAGATGGCTGGTCGTATGATATACTCTAAAGCACCGGATAGGACGAATATAAATCCTTCACAGAAGTTGATTGCTGTGTTTTTTCGTGATTCGGCGCGCAAATGTTGCATTAGACAGCTTTACGTTTATGGCTCATAAACTACATGGAGTGCCAGAAATTAGATTTTATAAGAAATTATCAAGTAATAAGGATGCAATTAAAATGTCAATCTCTTTAAAAGGTATCGTATTATCGCAAACTGTGATAATTTTACATTAGAAATTAATGTCTGGGGCAAATTGGATTGAAACCGTATACGTGCGGAACACACGAATAGCAGATATAACGGGTGTTCCGTGAAATGTGAAACCAATTAAAGACCCGTATATGCCCAGTATCTTTCTCTTCCCTAGTAAAGATACAAACAATCTGGAACTATTTACTGCGAAACAATGAGAAATCAAACGTCAAATTAACAGGAATGACTGTGTAAAATGTAATTTCAACCTAGTTTGTGGTGAATTATCTCCGTAACTTTCATCTTCGTCACACATGGCCTTGCTGATAAACCTCCTACATAAATATATAGGTTTTTTGCTTGTAGATTTATGTATTGAATTAATGGGAATGTCACGTTCTTTATCTCATTACTGGTCAATTCAATACGGTGCATTTCTATTATATTCAAACTCAGCCAAATGTTTCATTAGGAACATTATTATATTTAGCCATAAATGTATCTATGTCTCTAGTTACATGCATCATTTAACCAGAAAGAATAACCCCGGCCCAAAATCATTTTGAACTAAAAAATATTTATTTCCAGTACTCATAGTTCTCATACCAATTTATTTTCTCTAAACTTGTATCTTTGAGCACGAATAAACCAAAATGTCAAACTAGATATGAATGCAGGCGTTTTCAACTTGTCCTGTTATCAATATTAGCATCTTCATAGTTTTTTCGCAATTCCAAAGATAGACAGTAACTTGCTAAAGAGACAGGCCAGGCTGCTCACCCGTGCATTCTGAGTGCAAGGCTCTTTACTATTGGTAGCTATATTTTTGTATCGAAATTAATTCATCTTCAAATGTTCTAAATTAAAAGCAGGACAAATGTATTTCACAAATCAAGCAGGTTAAAAATTAAAAACGTTTCAATTATGCATTAGTGTCAGATCTTTACCGATTCCCAACAGTCCTCGGGACCGTTCAATGATGTGATGAAATGTCGCCCCAGGAGGAAGCATAAAGCGCGGGTTCTGTTTGTATAAGAGTGCCCGGATGGGAATTTAACGCCGGGTCTGAGATGCCTCTATGTCAGAAATGTTAGCATGCCAGGAATTATAACGGTATGTATAGCGCGATTGTACATTGGTACAGAATCACATCTTTAAATTTGACAATAAAAAGTCTTTTATAAATAAATTTAATGAAACCAGAGACTCTATGTCTCTGATCAAACTAGCAAAATTAGAAATTTTGAAGCATCATAATGAATTCAATTATTTCGATCATAGTGTATGCATGCTTTGGCAGAATTAATTAGTAAGTAAAGATAAAAGTAGTATTGAAAAAAACAAAACATATTAACTTTTAAATACTACTTTTATCTTAGTACAGTTATTTAAAATCCGTTCGTCGGAGACATTTTCGTCTTGATAATATGGTGTTAATAAAAATAAATGTATATTAGATTGAAATTGAAATTTATAAAATTCATGTATGCATAATATTATTTTCACACCAATACAGCAATACGAAAAGTATAATTGCTGCACAACACTTAAAGTGATCATACCAAATTGTCAATTTGAATTTTTTTTCCATTAGCCCTAGATCTACTTTTTCGTCCAATGAGAAAACGTAAATTTGAGAAATTCTGACAGTCTGTTTCGCATAAAATGTCTTCAATAGCGTTCATTTAACCGTCCATTTAAACGTTGTGTTGAGTCTACCCGTGCAATCATGCATACGAAAAGCGTTAACGTTAATAAGAAAAAAAAACAAAAAAAAACAATAAACGTCTTAAAACAGCTACAGTGGCTTCCACGTCTCTTTTTTGAGCATTTTCTTGATTTTTTTTTCTTATTAGAATCTTGATATTACTCAAACGAAAACATAACGAAAATAGATATATCATCTTATTATGTTTCCTTTATCATGCCCTAAATACGGCCATCGCATATATGGTCAAAATCATAGAATAACATAATATTAAATGTACGGAAATTTCTGTTCGAAAATACTGTAGAAAGTACCTTTTTTCATCAATACTAAATGTACAATGCAATTATTTATCTTCCTACATTCGCTTATTTTTTAAAACACGTAGAAATCCTTCTCTGAGAGAAAAAGAAAACGCAAAAAAAAAAACCACCAAAAAACGAAATCTGATAAGAAATAACCATAAAGATAACTCAAAATTCATAATCTTAAAACGTTTAAAGAAAACTTATTTTAAAAAAAAGTTATTTCTAAAACACCTGGAAAAAGCGGTTAAGGCTTATCGGGTCCATTAATTTATATGAACTGTCAGCGTAGTAAATATAACACGATTCAAAACTTAATATTTTCAGACTTTATTGAAGTCCACAGCTGTCCACAGTTTCAAGAACGCTATGAAAATGTGGTATATAAACATTAAATATGTACCTAGAACAGATAATGTCAGTATATTGAAGTAAAGCAAAACAATTTCATTGATAAATTAATATTTTCCTGTCATAAAAAATGCGCGAAGTGATGAGATATAAATGTAACACTACTTGGAAATTGCATTTATTTTCTTGTCAAATTGATTGACGGATTTTATAGAGTTGACGTACTTGCAATTTTCATTTCCGTAGAGTTTTATTTTACAAATGAACTTGATGATTACATGTATTTGTAAAACTGTCATGCGAAAAATAAACACGCTAAAAAATGACGTTTAAACACATTAAACATACCAAAATTGTTATAATTATAGACTTTAGGACTGGCAAATTATTTGGAAAAGTCCGCATTATTAGAAAGCCTAATAATTATATGGGTTAGTGTTTGTTAGTCAACATTGATAAGCACCATCTAATATGAAATAATGTACCTGTATATGCTAAAAAATCATTTCGATTTACAACTGTTAATAACTCCCCATACCAGGGTCAATCCACAACAAAATATTAAAATCGTGTTACCGAGGTTACATTATTCATTCTATTTTCAAAATATTGTAAATTTAAGCAGTTAATTCTTAGACTTTAATTAAATGACCTTGTTTAAAATATTAATCGTAGCTTATTTTGAGTGCAGTTCGTCGAAATATTTATTTTTTATGGAACTAATAGTACCACCAAAACAATCATAAATCGAAAAGATGTTCGTGAAATGTTTTCGTATCTATTTTGACTTTTTACAGCGAATCCACAGTGCCTAATTAAAGTGCTGCGGCCCCTCCTACTTTTGATAAGAAAACCTCCCAGTTCACGGCGGGGATATAATTATTCCTGTGTTTCACGCTTCTCACCTCATAAAATCCTAATGATATATCTGATGGACCAATCAGAGGGCTTATTAACACTAATAGTTTATACAAAGCAACATCTGTGTGGTAACAAAATTCCACCAGTATTCGTCTTGTCAAAATCTTCTAGTCAAAATTAATTGGAATCAGTTTCAGAAATACGATTTACATAGTCTGTAGACAGGTCGTGGAATCCAAGAAAATTTTAATCCGAAAAAGTGAGTTTCTTTACAGAAATTTTAGAAAGTTGATTAAATAAACCAATCTTTTAATCTTATTAAAAAAAAGAAAGAATAACATGTGTATGGAAATATAACTGATTTTCTATTGGAATTTTACTATTTGTGACTGTGAGCCGACCAAAATATTCATGAATTATAAAATGTTCTTAAGCACATGCTCCGGGTGCGTCGAGGTACCAACCCCGATTTACTACTGGAACCCGTATGTTGCACATGCGTATTCAAAAAGTTCAGCGTTTCAAATTGCAAATATTTTACAATTGTCGCAAAATACAGCCGACGTTTCAAAACATGACAAAAGAACGACTGCGGAAAACTTGCAACAGCGTCGTCAGGAAGCCAGGCAAAACTATTTGTACGAACGAAAAAAGGAGGACATAGAAACACGGAGAGATTTTCAGAGATTTGACGACTCTCTCTCTAGCCGCGTTTTAGACTTTTCAAGAAAGAAGGGTGATAAATGCACATTGCCATCTGCGCTCGAACCTCTTCAAGCATTGTGCAGCGAAGGGCCTCGTGGCTACAGAAGTTCATCTCCGAATACAACAAAAGGCTCGAACTGTACACAGGCATCGCCTACACCAACACGGGAACTTAAATTCGGTATCAGTCAAATATTGTCGGAGGACTTCGGAAAAGAAAAAACAGATAAAGGTATGTAAACAGAATATGCCCTAATTATTATCATATTTTCATATGTTGACAAACACATATTTAAGCCGAATACATTTTGACAGTAAAAATATGTATGTTGATTTTTTTATTACATATACAATGAAGTGGTGTTCTTCGTTTATATCATTGAATGTTTGCGGTGTCTATGTTGAAAGAATTGAGCTACATTAATGTCATTTTATGTGACATTGTTTCTTTAAATACATTTTTCTAAAACTATCGAATAATAATCAAACCCATATTCTAACTAAGATCTATGGCTTCTTCTACTTTTTTGTAAGAGTATGAAGTTTGTGTTAGACATGACGACAATATACCAATTGACATAAATTACTTCCCCGATGGTTTTCAACCTTTTTTTATGAGCATATAAAAACGGAAATATAATGAAATTTTCTCTTGCATTATCTATTCGTATACGTTCTGCAGTGCACTATACCGAATTGGAAACAAGTACATTATTGTTGTTCAGAATTGCAATTACACATTATATCATTTCAGAAAAGATTAACCATGATAAATATATTACCAGTATTTGAATATCATTGTTCTTCGTGATATTTTTTCTTCTTTGGCTTAACAGAAATGAAAGTATCACAAACAGTCCACGGACTAAGATCTGAACGTGCTGATGATTGCAGTATATTTAAGATGCCGAACATAACAAAACCGCGCCAAATGTATGACTTTTTTTAAAACGACATAATGCCATACAGAATTTAAATCATAATAAACTAAAACACATTAACTTATAAAATTCACCACTCAGTGACCAAAACATCATTTTGATGAAAAATGAATATTATTCAAATTGGACCTATCAAAGTAAAGAAGATAATTTGTTGTTAATCTAAAAATAAATACATGTATGACATGCAATTCTTGCACATTGGCTACATTTGCAGCCAATGTAGTTCTCAGCCTGAATAACCTTTCTGAGTAAAAATAAATGTGAAAAAAAGAAAATTTTTAGTAGGAAACAAAATTATAGTTAGTAAAAGTAAAAGAAAATCCGCATTTAAGACTATATAATAACAGTATCTAAATATATATTTTGATAAAGAACGATTACGAACTTCCACTATGATGCAGCTGGTTTTTCCCCTTATAAGTCTTCGGCTTCCTTTTCAATCCTGTTGTATCATAATTGTATATGTTGTCATTATATGAAATAAATACTCTTTAAACGTATATAAATATCCATTCTGAGTAACGTTAGGTTAATGTAACCGTTGTTGGTCCGAATGGGGTAATATAAATTATTGCTATTTATTTGAAAAATGTCCGGCCAGACAAAACTTAAAACTTGTCCGTCATTTTTAAATATTGTACAAACAATAGCTATGATCTCATCATATTGTGATGGATTGAATAATGTGATTTAGGTTTTGGTCCTAAAATATATTATACGAGCTGTAATATGTGTAAAATTTTCATTATATTTGTTAGATTTTGTAACATTATGTGATATTCCCATATTTTACTTTTTGCATTATACAAATGTAAAACATGTATATATTGTATCAGAACCAAATTCAACAAAAAAGCATTCAGTGAAAAATATTTGAATAAAAATGTTTAAATGCAATAAACATTTTGTATATCAATATTTCTTAGTACATTTTACTGTTGATAATTTTGACTGCACAGTCGCTTCATATTTTTAGTATGAAATGCATTATTGTTATCTCTTTAAATTGCAGAAAATTCTCCAGGCTATACTGAGACTGAGGATACTGTATACCGTCCTCGACGATGTGAATGCACGTATGATGGCTGTAACTTGTACCGAGAACATTCACGGTACCCAGCTCACGCGCTGTCCGCCGTGCACGCGCTTCAACCTCCCAAATATCCTACCTCACCACTCGGAACTGACGTCTTACCTGGTATGTTTTTTTTACCAATCTATTGATTTGTTGAATTGATCTCTTTCTTTTACAAAATGTATGATCCTGCATCAAATTTATGTTTATAGTTTCTGCACAATTTAAAGGCACATTATGCCAACTTTAATGCCACATTATACCCCAGAAACGAATAAATTTTTACTTCTTTAGAAAAGGCAAACATGAATTTTATGTAACATTTAAATAATAGTGTTTTATAGCATGTAAGATGCTTGTTACCTGAAAAAGTGGTGCTAAATATGAAATAAGTTGTCATAATTTTAAGTAGCAAAATGTAATCAAAGTAGAATTTTGACTTTCATTAAAATGCTAAATCCCTATAACTGAACTAATTGTGAAAAAACAATACAAAAAAAGCTTGTTTAGGTAATTGGCCAGTGCGTAACTTTTCTGAAACTGTAAAGAAACAACGTCAAAGATAAAAAACTTTCGAGAAATAAACATTAAAGCATTTCTGGGACACAATGGTCCTTTAAGAAGCTAGATATCTTGTATATCATGGGCATGTATATTTATGTACAAGAAGGGGTAAAAAATATCATACTTCAGTCTATAACACACTTTAATAAATATATTGCCCATTAATTATTAATTTAATCATTTTATTATTATATTGTTGTGGTTCTAAAAAATAATTCTTGTTTGCTGACAGGGGTCTCAAATATGTTTTTTGCAAGGACATAAAATTAGATTGCAATTTGAACTTTAAATTAAATACCAAATCCAAAAAGCGAAGTACAATGTCCAACAGTAAAAAAAATCAGTTTTATACAAGAAAACAACTTTTTTTTCAAACATGCAGCGACAATGCTATAACATTTGTATTTTGGATACATGTATGACGTAAGGGTAGTCAAAATATTTAGACGAAAACCACGGATTTGAAGTGGTCAAATTCCGTAAAGCCTAATTTTTATTGGGTGAATTAAATATAGAATTCAGCAGACATACTTCTACAAAAATAAAAAAAAATCTTTGCACAATAAAGGTTATGGTTTGTTTATAATTATATAAAATATGCATGTATAAGAGTAAGAAAATTAGCAAATATTGTTATATGCTCATTTTTTCCTTTTCTAAAGATTGACTGTTATAATGGGGATTGACCAACAGTAACTGTTTTTAATGGAAAAATGTAAAGGATAAATTTAAATCTATAAAAAACATCTGCCCCACTCTTTTAATTAATTGAAAGTTACAGGTATTTTCCAATGGATATTTACAGAAAATCCCATGGACCACACTGCACCGTAAATCATAAAATTGAAATGAATTATGGCACCATGTAAATTTATTTTGACTTTCACCTGTTCACTCAAAATATACCCTTTAATGGGCATTATATCGCTTTAATTTTAACACATTTTAGATGAACATGAATTATAAGCGTTGACTATAACCCTTTTCAGGAAATCCTCATACAATTGACATTTCTCCAACACATTATTGGCTAATTAGGCCTAAAACTGTATCATTTTTAAAGCTCTTTTCATTTGGTGTCCCGGTACAGTTTCAAGAAATGTTATTCATAATAGTGAGACATCTTATTTCTTTTCTCCATTTTGGCAATTAGTACACTTATAGTGAATTAGTATTTTGTATGGAGGCCAAAATACAACTTTGTTCATGTTGATATCATCACAGATCATTTCACATTCAGCGCTATTTCTTTGGGATGATAAAATCTCACATGTTCTAATTCCATTATTACATTTTAAAACACGTTTGTTCATTCTACAGAAAGAAATAAAATATTCATTTGTGAGGAATAATGTTTCTTTAAATATATACATTGTATTGTAATATATATGTTACTCAGCATGATTTTATATCCGAAAGTATATAGCAGACTAGTTTTTAAATGTTCCGCCAAAAACAAGTGGAGTTAATATTAAGAGTTTAAACGACATCATCAAAAAAGTACTTTAAAAAAAATAAATTTATTTTCATAAGGCAATATTACAATAACTTATCTACGAGTATGCATCAATTATTTCATTGCTATTTCTTTACATAAAAAGAAACATGAGAAATATCTGAACGAGTTTTTTTATTATTCTTTTACATAGGCCTGCTTTTATACATTAAGAGATGTGATCTCCTGAAATAAACATGTAACTTCGAATCAAAAGAGATATTCTCCGGCTTCAAGTCCAACTCATCAGTCCCCAGTCCCGTGTTTATTGTCCTTCAGATTTCTTCAATATTCCATAAGGCCATATGGTCCATGAGGAAATACACGATCCTGTTGCATGAAAGGTTTCGAACAGCAGCATGGACATGAAACACCACATAGATATCAAAAGTATTCCTAAACCCATGCCGCCATATCAACCCATAACTTCATCCGTTCCTTTGCTGCAATTCCTCGATAAATAATGTTGCGCAGTACCTCGTACATCGTTCTTTGACGAATCCATTTTCAGCATTTTCTTATTTAAACATGTATTCAATAATTTTCTACTTACAAGAATTCCTTTTAGCTTGTAAATCTCTATATAGTATACACGTAACACTACCTACCCTTATCTTGCATAACTCTCCAAAACAAGCCATCCAGGCTTATCAGTCTACAGTCGTGCATGATCCATATGTCAAATCGGCCTCAATTATATCATAAATATCCATTCCTGAAAGCTTTTATTTATCGGATTTTATCGCCATAAAACCCAAAACCTCAGGAACTAAAATGTTTCTTGGTCGAACACTGTAAAAGATGCCGTACGTTCATTTATATTTTCAATAAATTTCAGGCCCATATTCTGTGTTGAATACAGAGGTCAACGTTGGCCCACAATCAAAGAGGAAACGCTCGTGGTCACGTGCAGTGTTCTCAAATCTACAAAGGAAAGGTTTAGAGAAAAGATTTGAGGTACAGAAGTATGTCACCAAACCTGACAGACGACAACTTGCAGCTATGCTTGGTCTTACAGACGCACAGGTAAAACAATTTTACTTTCACTAGTGTTAACTTTCACATTTTCTTGGAACCAATTTCATGGAAACATATTTTTCAAAAATACTAACATTAAATGTAATAATTTGAATCTATATATTTAACTTTATTTTTCCCATTTCTATCATTACTTCGGAATAACTATAAGTAAATGACTGTTGACCAATATTGAGAAATATTTGGAGAAGAACCTAGGGATAAGCATTATATCAAACATCTGACATTTTATGCTCATTTAACTTAATATAACTGTTATATTCTTCGTGTTCTTGCTTCGCGTAGTTTAACATAAACTAGCCTTTTTCTTGCATTGAAATTCAAAATAAAACACGCGATCGGATGATGAATTCACATTCTTCACAAGATTCATGACAAATCATAAAGGATTTTTTCCCTCTAATTCACGATTTAAAATATTTTTCAACAGTTATTTTTATCTTATTTCTATCTTATAATGAGACCATATTTCAAAGTAATTTATGGCCATTTAAACAAAAAGAACATCAAAACTAAACTATCTATATTCAATGTCTAAAATTAAACAGATCTAAGGATTAACAATGTTTCTGCACCTTAAAATTAATTGCCCGAATAGTGAAAATCCAAATCAAATTTTAATTCAATTCTATTTCTTGGAAAGATGGATACTTGGGACTTAACATGATCATATTTTGTTAAAACTTTAATTTATAATTTATGATCATTCGAAATATTTTAAAGGTGAAGGTCTGGTTCCAAAATCGACGAATGAAATGGCGGCATGCTCAGCAGCAAATTAACGCGGAAGAAGAGTCAAACGACAATGTGGCAGACGACAAAATGCTTATATCCGATGAAGACCGGAACAACCCAAAAATTGTTCAAATGGCGGTTGGAAATGACAGTAATTTAGGAACTCATGAAGAAATTCTGGTTTCGGAAGATCTATCATCAGACGATGACGACGACGAAAATGAAAACATTTCTGTTACAGACATTAAAGAGGATATTTCTGTGAACACATGTCACCAAATGAACGTGGAAAATGGACTGTAGTATTCATGTATGTGTGGTGTTAATTCTTATAAAAACTATATCCTTCCGATTAGAAAATGATCTTATTAGTAATTGAGCATATAACAGCATTATACCAATGAACTTTTAACAATGAAAGCAAAGTAATGATTTACTTAGTGATGTTGTAAAAGCTTGTCATATATGATGAAAAAGAAGGGTGATAAATTTATTCTACATGTCAATTATAAGAAAATAAAAGTAGAGATATAGCAGTATTGTAATTATTTCTACCGTTAAACAATAATGGCGTTAATAGCAAAAACGAGCCATTGAGCATGTTACTTGTAAATGTAGCCAGAAAATCATCGTGTTCAATAAAGCTGAATGCAAATAGGAGAGAATTGTCCGGTTTTCACCAAATGCAGTTTATTTTACTTTTCAGTCATTTTTCAGCACAAAAATCCTTACTAAAATCATTATCATGTGTACAATGCAAATAGTAATTTTGTTAGGTAAAATGAAAGGTAAAATTGTCGCATAAAAAAGTGGCCGGAACAACAGAGATCGGTGCCTAACTTTGTTTTGTTATTCCTAAATGACAAAAATATGATCATTTTGACAAAAAAAAAAAACAAAAACGAATTTCTTATGTCTGAAATTTTTCATGGACTATAATAATTAGTATGACCCCGTTTTTGGACAACTTGACAGAGGAATTAACGATAACTGGTTTGTGATTAAACAAATGTAATGAATTGATATTCATTTATCCATTAAGTGCATGGGCCTGCTGGTAAGATAATCGCTCAATAATGTACATTTAAATGGGTCTCTGCGGGTCCACTCCTGACATAAAATCCCCAATATTATAATCATGGTGTTTATATAGCCAATACATGGCAGGTTCTGGTAAACGGTGACCAAACAATAAAAACTTGATGGTCATTACTCACAACATGTGGCTATGGCATTTACATGCAGATACAACACAAATAATTAGACTAGAATTACATAGATATTATTACACAACAAACCTTGAAATTGAAATAAGTTGGGTCGGGAACAGAGCATCATTTAGTCACAACAGATATCTTCATATAATGCATACACTATAATCTTGTCACAGTGAACAACGAGTAACATTGATTACAACACCGTGAGGTATAAATTATGTCAAGTGATCAATGACCATGCCAAAATCGCTTTAGCTTCTTCAATTATCAAATTTGATCCCTTGACATATATACATGTACGTGCTAAAAGGAAAATACAGTTTCTTTAAAACATTTTATCATATCCCTTTTCTTAAGGTGTATATTCAATTCACTGTTAAAACTCCTTTAACAAACAATGAAAATTTAAAAATTGACTATGTTTATGATAAAATAGAAAAGGGTTGAAGTATGATAAAAAGAACATAGAAATACTATTCATTTTCATTAATATTTTGACAAAATGTGATTTTCTTTTAAGTAAATATGCATTCACCGGGATACTTTATTCATTTTTATTATGTTAAATATCTTAACCTATAAATGACAGAAAAGTTAAAATTTGGTTATATGATTCTTTAAAATAATGCTGCGTCAGTTTGACAGACTCTGGAACTTCCTCTTGAAAGATTTCATGTTCCGACCAGCAACTTGTCCCCTTTCCGGAAATGAACGGAAAGTAACACGTAAATATGCAAAAGTATGGCGGAGTATTTACCGATAAGAAACGTTAGCACCGGTCTAATTAATAATATTCAAAAACAGCGGATCAGTCACGAATATCTTAAGAAGCTGATAAAATAAAAGACGGATCGCATAGAAGACAAATCACCCAGCTAATTGCTGGAGAATATCAGAACTTGAGAGTGAAGGCATTTAGCTATCACATCTGAGGAGTGAATTCACTTTGAAATCATGTAGTCACTTATCTATAGGGGAAACCATGACGATGGAAATATACTGCACGGGAAATATGGGGAAACAACAATCAAATAATGATAAATAAAAATATAAATAAATAAATACAAGAAAAAAAGTCAAACACTAAATTATTGCAAATATTATACATATGTTTGCGTGTTGGCGGAATTACTTGCATCTTTTACATCCATTTTTCCAAAAACAATCTTCGATTGTCTTATTGGTATTATCATGTACAAGATTTTTTTAACGTCATATTTACGCCAAAGTCATGGCAAATTCATATACCTTGCAATGTACACATATTAAACTAATGACATGGGAATAAAGTTAATAATATGAAACAAGTTGCTTATTGTTGATGGTGGGATCTGAAATTACAAACATTTGAGCACTACGTGTCCACGTTCACGGATTTAGTAACGCGACGTTAGCCGGAACCTATTTTTCGGACGTCACAAAATCGGAATCGTTGTCTTCCCGAACCAGCTCGTTCTTCATTCGCTATTTCAAATAAACAGAGATTTTCTCGTATGATCCGTATCTATTCACACAGGAAAATATTAACACAACAAAACTTGAACGGGGTGCAAGAGGTCGGAACAATTTAATAACTTATGATACACCTTCTCTGTGATCAGTTTTCAAAATGAGGAATTTCCCATGTAAATGTGCACATAAATACTCATATCTCATACTTATCTAGTAAATGCATAAAGTATATGATAACTGAATGGGTTTGTTTTGGCTAAACATATTACGTAATTTGTCAAGTTCTATTGATGCTCGGCTAAATAATCACCATGGCTGATGTGGCACGGATGTTTCGTACAGCGTGTGATTTTTGAAATTTTAACACCTGGCAGGCTCTAGCATACTTCATTCATTCAAGAAAATACATGTGCGTAAAATTCCACATTTTTGATAAATCGTCGTAAATATAACGTTAACGAAACTCGATCCCGAATCATCACAAAATCAAATGGTGTTCTGGCTCGACAACAGCAGGCCACATTTAAGTACTACCATTTGACAAAACTAGAAAACATCAGAAAAAGTTAATGAAAAAGTTAATGAAAGAGTTAATGTAATTTAAATAGTCACAGATATAGTTCATGAAAGAAATTATACATGCATTTATCATGAAAACATCAATGACTATCAGTGTTTGTTGTATTTCTTTGGCGAGAATGCCATGTAACGTGTGTGATGCATTATTACATAGCCCGATGTCAAACACTTTAGTTATGTTTATATATAAATAGTTAAAAATGAACTAATTATCTTGAATATTGAAAGAGCCATTTTCTCTGACCAATTAATCTGCAACATCATCCGTCGGTTAAAATAGTCAAATATTATAAGTGAGCAAAATACACGCCTATGGATTAATCTAATGTCTAACCTATATCAATTACTTACTATAATTTATCAAATCTACTTTCTGGATTAGGGAAGAAATAATTACATGTACAGATAAAAACAGAAAACGCATAAATTTTACAAACTTTAAATACTTTCTAAGTTTACCTCCAGGACGAAAACATTTGTATGGGACAAGATTCCATCTGAGGCGAAAGTTGGACACTTAAATACAAATAAAACGCCATCCAATTAGTTTCTAATCTTGCATTAAGACAATTGATCCGTCTTTAAGTATTTCCAAATCGTGATATATCGGATATTTTAGAATCATGATAATTATTGACACAGATCGGCACCATCAAAGAAACTGGAGACATGGAACAGACTAAACAACGAGGATGGAACATTAATTATGTCGTAATTAATTGATAAAACCCCCCATTATGATAGCGACATGAACATAGCTATCTTTACCGATTTTACATGTTGGAAACAAATCGCATGCTCATGAAAGATCCGAAACGATAATAAAAAGATCTGAGAAAACTTGAATAATATCTTGATTAAAGCGATGTCATAAATCCGCGGACTGTTAAAAGAAAGCATTTATTTAAGTCTTCTTAAATTGATCATATTGATTAAGGGCTCTCTTCATATCTCTTCATTTATTGTAATAAATTAATTTTACCAACGTTCTGTATGAATTTAAAATACTATTTCCTTTGAAATTCGACAAAATTAATTTTGAATTGGTATAGATATAAAATTTAAAAAGCAATTACATGTACCATAAAAAGTGTTTATTTCTAAATACCCATCCGTCAATACGGGATTATAAATATTAAATTACTTTAATTTTTTTTCCTTAAAACTACTGCCACATTTGAAAGCATTTTCATAGACCCCAACCTCCAGGTGTAGTTTCTCTAAACGTAGGTCTTTTAACCTTTTCAACTTGTAATTTAGTGATCTTCTGAGCAAGTGCGCAGGACGTCATGTTTTCGCGGTAGAATTCTAAAGTTCAATTTTTCAACTTCACATGGATAAACACAGTGGTGTTCAAAGTTCGTCCTTGAAATCGATCACGTGACATCTTGTTTCAATATTTTGGCCGCAAATTAATATTGAAATTATGAAAGTCAAAAGGTGCCACATACGTTTTTGCACGCTGTGGTAGTTAAAAGGATAGGGGAAATATTCTGACATTTATACAACATAATCAGTCCAATATTAATAGATAATTCATTATCCGACAAATACCAATAAAAGGTTTTGAAAATAAATATATTTAAACGTATTAAAACATAATAAAAGATTTCATAGAATAGATACGTTTATGATTTAACAATTAAAAATGTCACACGACGTATGATCAAAACTCGCCATTCCTCTTTCGACGGCACGGCGCATTCGGATATTTTTTAGTATTAATCTGGAAACACGTTTTTTTTGCATTTACTTAATGTAAGTTGACGTTTGAATTTTACTTTAGTAAAGGCAAAAATATGGTCATTTCATCAAGGTCAAAGCAAGAGAGCATTTTTTAATCTTTAGATAATTCACAAGCTGCCGTTTGTAAATACGAGATAACTAAACTGACCATTGACAGGATAGGTCAAAGGTTATGTCAGCAGCATGTGCAATGCATTTAATTACACTGCAATAACCGCTCCTAAAGCACGCACCTCCAGACTGACGTCAACTTGCGTTACACTGGAGGAGTTAATAGTGACAACTTAGTAGAATTAAAAAAGCAATATAATATAATTATCCTGATGAAGTTGTTTCACCATGAACCTAATGTTTGTGTAAATGAAAGTGGAACCGATTATTTGTGGGATTTTAATATTCAAAATACAAAAAAAATGAGCTACCAACAGCATAAAGCCTAGATGTATAGGCTGGTCTGGCTCTATATAAACCATTGGCAAATGCAAAATTGCGCTCAAATATAAATCACTTATATACGAGACCGTTGGTGACATTTCAAC